CACTCAGAGGCTGTTTACAGCCCTAGAAGGCTTGCCGGAAGGACGCACGGCAAGAAAGAGGACTCCTAAGCAGTGGGCTTAGGTTTTTAAAGCAAAAAAACAAGGTTTCTGAGCGGAAGCGAGGGTTCCTAGAACGAAAGAGCTCTGATACCAAGTTAAATGTAAAAGAATACGTTGTGTATTGATCTGTGTCAGGTAGTTACAATATATAGAGACCCTAATGGGCTTAAGTGTAAGGCCCAAACCTACCCAAACCTAATCCTAATACAGTCAGAATACAGTCAAACTATTTACGGATAAGACAGAATCCAATCATATCTAATCATATCTAATCATATATTGGTTTTTTACATGGTATCAGAGACTCGCCGCCCCCCACTTTCTCTTGTGGCATTTCTTAGCACAGGTAGGTTGGGCCTGTTGCATTGTCCACTCTTCAAGCCCAATGGGCTCTTGTGTGAGGGGGCGTGTTGAGATATATATTCCCACATTGGTTGTATATGCAACTAATGTGGAGTTTATAAAGCCTTGGACACTCCCACCCTTTGAGCTAGCTTTTGGGGTGGTGTATCCCAAGGTTCTTTACATATAGCAAAGGGGCTGCTGAGCATGTGGACCACCTGAGGAAGGTATTTAGTGTACTGCGTACTCACAAATTGTTTGCAAACAAAAAAAATGCATCTTTGGACAAAGGCAAGTGGAGTATTTGGGGCACATAATCTCTGAAGAAGGAGTACAGGCTGACCCTTTAAAGATCAAGGCAATGGAAGAGTGGCCAGTTCCAAAGAATGTGAAAGGATTAAGGGGGTTCCTGGGATTAACAGGTTATTATAGGAAATTTGTCAAGGATTATGGCAAGATAGCACGCCCTCTCACGGATTTATTGAAAAAAGATTCCTTCAAACAGGATGAAAATGCACAGGTTGCCTTTGCATTGCTGAAGCAGTTGATGACTGTTGTCCCTGTATTAGCTCTACCTGATTTCTCCAAGACCTTTATTGTGGTTACTGATGCATTTGGTAAGGGTATAGGGGCAGTACTAATGCAAGAGGGCAGGCCCCTGGCATACATCAGCAGAGGATTTTCACAGCACACAATGGGAAAATCAGTTTATGAAAAAGAACTCATGGCTGTTGTATTTGTTGTCCAGAAGTGGAGAGCGTACCTGTTAGGAAGGCATTTTGTGGTTAAAACTGATCAGAAGAGCCTTAAGTATTTACTGGAGCAGAGGGTATTAGGTGAGGGGCAGCAAAAATGGGTCTCTAAGCTAATGGGGTATGATTTTGAGATTCAATCTCAGCCGGGAAAAGGGAATGTAGTTGCCGATGCATTATCACGTAGTGAGGAATTTTTTCTGCTGTCTAAAGTACAGTTGCCACAGTTGGGGAAAATTGACCGAGAAGTACAATTAGACCCGAGGCTTATGGGCATAATCCAAGATCTTTTGGAGGATCCAGCATCTCACTCCGGGTTCCAACTACAAGGGGGACGTCTTTTTTACAGAAACAGGTTGGTCTTAGCCAAATCTTCTAGATTCATTCCCTCAATTCTTTCAGAATTTCATGACTCTTGTATTGGAGGACATTCTGGCTTCTCTAGACATACAGGAGAATGGTGGGAGTGGTCTTTTGGGAGGGGGTGTGGAAAACAGTCCAACGTTATGTGATGGATTGTGCTATTTGTCAACAAAGTAAAATTCAGAACCTATCTCTGGCTTGATTACTACAGCCTTTGCCCATACCATCTCAGGTTTGGACTGATATAGCCATTGATTTCATTGGTGGTTTACCAAAGACTCATGGATTGGACACTATTTTTGTTGTGGTAGACCGTTTCACCAAATATGCTCATTTTTTTACCATTGGCCCATCCCTACACCGGCTATGATGCACGGACACTGACACGGGACACGACACGACACGCTGACACGTTAATTTTAAAAAATGTCATATTTCAACACGCTGGGACACGTTTTGATATTAAATAATATTTTTAATATATATAATATAATTTATATTTAACACATATAATAGCCTATAATAGGTCATAACCAATCAAATATTCAAATTTCATAACATAAATATAAACAAAAATAACTTTTCATATCTTGTTAATTTTTCATGTCAAATTTCATAACAAAAAAATTGATTTATAAATGATTTTTTTTATTTTTAGTTAATAAAATAAAATTAAGACTAAAAAAAATAAAAAACGTGTCCGAGCATTGACCACATGTCGGAAAAAGTTGACTGCGTGTCGGAAAAACGTGTCGGAGAGTTGACCACGTGTCCCAAAATATTGACCACGTGTCGGACGCTTGTCGGAGCGTGTCCGTGTCGGACACATGTCCGACACGCACCTTTTTTAAAAATGCACGAGTCCGTGCTTTAGAGTACACCGCTAAGGAGGTTGCTGGTCTGTTTGTTAAGGAGGTGGTGAGGTTTCATGGGTTCCCTCTTACAATTGTATCTCTGATAGAGATCGGTTATTCCAGAGCCACTTTTGGTCCGAGTTATTTAAATGCGTAGGTACTAAGCTTAATTTTACAACAGTATACCATCCTTAATCTAACGGGCAAACAGAGATGGTAAGTAGAAGCCTCGAAACTTATTTACGTTGTTTTTGTAGTCCTAGACCCCGTACTTTGCCTAATTGGCTGCATTGGGCTGAGTATTAGTACAACACCACATACAAAAACTCCACAGGGATGTCCCCATTTAAAGCACTGTATGGTTTTGATCCTCCTAGCCTCTTACGGGTTGGGAATAGTTTCCCCGCAGTGGACGCAGTTGCCTGGTTGCTGGCTGATAGAGAAGCCATCTTAGATGAGCTAAAGGAAAATCTGCGCAAGGCTCAAGAAACTATGAAGACTCAGGCTGATAAGAAAAGGAGAAAGGTTCAATTTGAGGTGGGTAATCTTGTTTATTTACGCCTACAGCCTTACAGATTGAAATCCTTGGCTGCTAAGGTAAATGAAAAGCTAAGTCCCCATTATTACGGGCCATATGAAGTCTTAGCTAAAGTTGGTGAAACGGTATATAGATTGGCTCTTCCTCCTTCTAGCAAAGTCCATCCGGTTTTTCATGTATCCTTACTCAAGAAGGCTGAGCATCCTATTGTCAATGCTCAACCATTGCCTCCTGGTCTCTCCGAGGAGTGGGAATTAATTGTGGCACCGGAAAAGGTGTTGCAATGGTGCAGGGGTCATCAGGGACAATTGCAAGTGCTAATTCAGTGGCATGACCTTCCTACTTTTGAGAATTCGTGGGAAGACTTTACTGATATGCAAGCTCAATTTCCGGACTTCCACCTTGAGGACAAGGTGCTTACGTTGGGGGAAAGTATTGATAGGGCGAAACTTCTCAAGGCCTAATATGGTAAAGTTTATGTTAGAGACCATTATAGGGGTAAATGGCCCAAGAGGAATATTAGTGAGGCTGTGTCACATTCCATTGAGTATAGAGAGTCAGATGGTTTGTTACAAAAGTTTGTTACTCATGTTGTGCCTGAAGAGGATATAGGAGGGACGTGAACGTGAGAAATGACACCGTGGAGGTCATTTGGTTTGCTGATGCAAAATGGGAGATCTCAGGGCATCTCGAAGGACCCTGAAGCATTTTAGATTCTGTTAATCTTCTTTATTTTTCTTCTGCAATATCTGAGCTATAGCAGCACTATAGTGTGTAATCAGATTTGTTTCTTGTTGAACCTTGTTAATTTTGCTGGAATGAAATTTACATAGAAGAATTATTCTGGAAATTCTGTTGTTTACTGTTTAATTCCTATCAGACACACACACAGATTCAATTGACCGACCATGCATTCAACTCAGTCAAGAACCAATGAACCGGCCTTAAACCTATGCTAACCCAGTACTGGTTTTCTAGTTGAATCGATTCTTGAAAATTGTGGCAAAATATTTCATTACAATTACACTCTTGGGGTTCGAACGTGGCACCTAAAGAGAGTAGAGTGTAATACTAACCACTAAACCACATAACTTTAGTTGTTATATTACCTCTATTAATATATTTATTACATATATTTACATAAATCAATTCAATTGGTTCAACCAGTGACTCATTGACTCGATACCCCGATCGAGTCGATGATCGATCCAGGTTTCGTAACACTGGGTGTAAGACTTACGGTTCTTCCATATTTTAATAACTTTATATAGATGGTTGGTATTAAGCAAAGCAGATTTTTCTTAAAAGTCTGTTTGGCGCGGAGTGATTTAAGCTTTGATTGAATAGTTGTGATAGACATTGCTTTTGAATGTGTAATTACCAAAACAGAGTATGAGCTACCTGAAATTGATGTTGAAAGAACTTCTGCTTGACCAGAAACCTGAAATTTCTTCTTTTCTTCTGAGCTGAGACCAAAACCGACACTGCCTTTGAACCAAATTGTTCAGCACAAAAGTTGTGAAACACAAATACTGCCAGTCTATGATGATAAATGAGCATATTGGATTAAGATCTTGTTAGATATCTGGGGTCTTGTCCATTAGTTGGTTTTACTTAATGTGTGGAATGTGGTAGTTTGGAAATCTAGAACACAAACTAATCAATTAGTTTGGAATCCTCCAAACACAAGAAAATGCTTTCATTATCAAATATCCAACTAATAATTTATTGTCATGGTGAAAAGCTAACTAGACTAATATGGAATTTGAGGATTGAGTTCATTTACCATATTTATTTCATGATTGGATGGCTTATGAAAAAGAATCTGTAGAATTGATTAGTGTCCATTAAGCTGGCATCCATTGCTGAGGAAATTATCGAAGTTCTGATTTTACCTGTCTGACATTGCCAATGCAAATCTTACAAGTGACTCAATTTGCATTTTCCTTTATATGTGTCCTTTTTTCAAAATTGGATTGGCATCATGGTACATTTTCATTTCTTTCTTTTTCTTTTTACCCTGGTGCTTATCTTTTATAGTTCTCCCCAAATCATTTATTTCTATGTATTAAGATGAACTTGGATTCACAGATGGCTATCAGGAAGTGCCTTGAAGCAAGTGGCAGTGTTTGGTTGCCCCTCCATCGACAAGGGTAGTGTCTTTCCTGCAAAAAGACTGCGAAATTTTTTTGAGGTTCAAGAAAACACTGTAAGGCCTATATAGCATGCATGAAGACTTTCACTGTGTTTTCTAATTTATTTATACATGTATCTATTTACCTTTAAGGGCAAGTTTTGAAGCAGCGATAAGGTTGCTTCTTGTGACTGGATATTATGGGTTTGAATTCGAAAAATAGCCTTCTTGCGAAAATGCAAGGATAAAGCTTCGTACAATCGACTCTCACCCCTACCCTCGTGTGGATTTGCCCTTTTGCCCTTTATATATCTGTTTACGTTTGTTATTTACAATTTCATTTCCCATCAGGTTTGCAGTGAATGCATGATGCGACACTCGTGCAATTTTGTAAATCAAAGTGTGTGGAAATGTGACACCAATAATTTGGATTTGGAGGAAGTTATGAAGGTTATTATTTCATATGCTTTAGAGTTAGTGCATCCTAAGCTGGTAGTGCCTGATCAAGTAAACAAGTCGATCAGTCAATTGCTGAAGGAAGTTGTGAAACAGAGTCAAATTGCTTGAGAATGCTTCTGGTTGACCGAGAATAACACATTATTTTAACTTTTCCTCACATATCTGTCGGAAATTGAGACACACATTGCACAAGGGGGCATATATTGATGATTTCTATAATTTCAATGTATGCAATTATGATTACTGCAGGCATTGGTGATGTATTTGCCTGAATGAATTATAAATGACGGTATATATATCATGTCAATTTGTGAATTGAATACATCTGTGGCTTTTTGTATTAGAGCATAGACAATTTTGTCATAAAATAATAACCAGCTTAATTCTTAGTTGATACATGAAAAGAAATAATTAATTATCAGTTATTCTTCGGAAACATTAAATTGTGTGGGTCTTTTTGATACAAAAGCTTTTCATTTTCATTTTTATTTTTTATTTTTTGAATTACTGTAATAGCCAATGGTCCGTTAGAAAATGAATTTACATTTTTGGTTAGATGAAGTGTATGCATTGAACGGTGATGATTATCTTTTAAAAACAAAATGAAATATATAAAAGTAATGTTTTGCAATCAATCATTGTGATTGTGTGTCAAAGCATTACATATTTCAAATTTTTAAACAATCTGTATTCAATGCATATGCAGCACAAAAAATAAAATGTTTTTCTATTGATCATCGGTCATATAGTTAAATAAAATAATGAAATTTTTTATATTAAATAATCTTACATCATTTAATGTTTTGGGGAAAATAACTTTGATATTTAATTATTCTTTTTTCATACATCATCAAAGAGTTACATGGATCACTATTTTCAGACAAAGAATCGTCTACTAATTTAAACAAAAATTTATAAGTTGGCATGACTATATATATATATATATATATATATATATATATATATATATATATATATATATATATATATATATATATAGGGTTTAATAAGAGTTATGTTGTAGGAAAAGTGATTGTGTTATGTTATAGAGATTCGTTTTGCGTGCCAGAGTTTTTTTTTTTTTTGGTTTCAAAAATTGTGGGTCCCACAAAATGTTGTGTGTGTAGGAAAGTTGTTGTGGTCATGTTAAATTATAGATACAAAACCCATATATATATATATATATGAGAAAACATTTTCTCATGTTGCATAAGAATTCAATTCTCATGTTGTGATCCTTCGATTTGAGTGCAAAGTTTTTTTTTCTTTTTCTCTTTTTAATAAATGTGGGATCCACCACTAATTGAGTCACAACATAAGAATTCAATTATCATGTAACATGAGAAAATCAAACCCCTATATATATATATATATATATATATATATATATATATATATATATATATATATATGGAAGGATATTGTAACAACCAAGTTGTGTTACTACCATGTTACTACCAATCAATCTCACCGTTAGATCGATTATGTTGATCCAACGGTTATATTTATTTCCATCTTTGCATGGTCATGATTTTCCAAATTTAATACTTTATATTTATTTCCACCTTTTTACGGTTATGATTTCTCATATTTAATGCTTTCACTTTAAATATGGGGAATCATAACCATACAAAGATGGAAATAAATATAACCGTTTGATCAACATAATCGATCTAACGGTGAAATTAATTGGTAGTAACATGATAGATTGATAGTAACACAACTTGGTTGTTACAATATCCTTCCCCTATATATATATTCTTTCACAGCGTAACTATAATAATTGACGAACCATTGGAGAACCGCTTTTCATTTTAAGTAGATGCAATGCATGCATTGCATGCTGATGGTTGTTATTTGAAATATATAAAAGTAATGGCTTGCATTCAATCATTGTGATAGTCGAGATTTCTTATAATGGTACCTTCTCTAAATATCATTATGCACCTTCCAACAACTGGTTTGCAATTAATTACCCTTATTGTTATTGATACCCAAAACATATAGAAAAAGTGACTGAATAAAAAACATTACATTTGGTAAGACAGAAATTCTGAATTTTCAATTAAAATTATTAAAATAATAAAATGTTCGACTTCTACAGTAAAAGTTCTAACTTCTAAGCACTTTATGGATAAATTACAATTCTATTCAAAATTTAAAATTAAAAAAAAAACCTAAAATTAAATATAACAATAATTATCTCCTTAAAATAAAGAGTTTTTTTTTTTTTCAAAAATGAAGATAATTGAGCAACCTATTATCTACTAATTCCAAGTTTAAAAACGTCCCAAACTAAGTCAAATTTGTTTCTTTTCCATTTTTGCCCAATTAAGTTATAATCAAATTAACCGCTTCATTTGAATTGAAATTTAGTTGTAATTTGACAGATTTCAAATTGCAACTTCTTTGAACATGTAAACCATGCTTAATGGGGCATAATTTTATTTGATTCAAGATTTCTTGAATCTGCCCATCAATTGCTTGGACTCATGTGTAATGAGATAACTCTAAATACATCTTGTATAATTGATGTGGGAGCCACCGATAGGTACTATAGTCTTGTTTATAAATAATAGGCTTTTATTATATATATTGATTACACATATCCCTTTTGTGATTTCAATATATATTAAGGTGTTTAATATATATTACACCAGCACATATTGATACTGATGGAATGTTCGGAATAGAAAAACGTATGCTTTGGGTGAAAGATAGCCTGAAATCAAGACCAAACAATTGGTTTTTGACTATTATATAGTTTTGTTATTTTATGAACTGCCCATAATATATTTTGTGGCATTGAATATAAAATTTTTATATCCAGTGATAAACTCGTTTTAAGTTAATTTAATTTAAAAAATTATATGATTATATTTCAATTACTCATAATTCTGATGCTATACTGACATTTGTGACATAAAAATAGTGCCATTTAGGGATGATAAAAAGCATTTTATTACATTAGTAAATAATTGCAATAGATATTTTTATGTTTATTTAATTTGCTTAATAGAAAAGCTAAGTTATTAATTCATTTAAATAATATAATAATAAATTGAGACTTGGGATAGAAAGGTAAAAGTAGTATGAAGTGATAGAGCCAAAGAGTATAATAGCTCATTTGAGAAATTCTATGTGGAGTCTTGTAATATACATCAAACAATTGCTCTTTATCCATTACAATCTAAAGAGATCATATAAAGGTGATCCCGTTACGGTCTCGATTGTGACATAGGTTGTTTAGGATTTAGAACCTCTTTTGGATTTTCTAATTTTTAAGTTAGAAGCTACTTATAAGCTAAAGCTAAAAAAAGAGCTTAAAAAAAAAAACTAAAAGCTGTTTGAAAATTACATAAAAATTTTAGCTTAAAAAATACTTAAAAGCACATATTTCAAGAAAATTATCTCTCTCTATATATATATCTTTATCACTCTTTATTTTTTTTAAAAACACACAATTCAAGAAAAACAGATAAGAACTTAAAAAAAAGCTCCTCCTAGGAGCTTTTTAGTTTTCAGCTTTTTTCTTCATTATAAAAAAAGAGCTTTTCGTTATAAGAGCTTTTTCCAAAATCTGTTTGGCCTAGCTTATGCTTACAAGTAGTTTGCCTGAGCTTTTCAAAAAAGTAACTTTTATCTCTTTCTTATTTTAGAAGTACTTTTTATAAAAGTTAAAGATATTTATATTTTTATAAAAATATTTAGTTTTAAAAAAAAATATTTGACTTTTGTTTTTCTTAAAAGTTAAAATTTTTAGCTTCTGCAAAAAGTAGATTTTTGACTTTTTTGTGACTTCTGCTTTTTTTAAAAGTGAACATCCAAACGAATAAAAAACGAGAAGTGATTTTTTCTTGAAAAAAAGTAGCTTTTGAAGAAAAAAAAGCTCATCCAAACAGACACTTAGTTAGGAGAGACCAGGCATTCATGATTTATTGGTTGGGTAGTGTAACAAAATTCGTATATAGGTTATATGTTGTGATTGGTGAGGTCAGTCTGAATCTAGTTTCTAGGTTATCCTTTTTGTGTTGGGAATTCAAGTATTAGTGATAAAAAATCTCACCTCGAGGAATAAGTAGCTAAGTATAATGAGGAGATTTATACTTACCACCAGCTAAACTTAACATCCTTACAACCAATCTAATCACCATTAGATTAGAATTAAATCTAATGGTGATTAATTACACCTTATTATCTTAATTTTTCTCTCACATCCCCTTTTTATCCGCCTTTCTCTCTCTAGGTTTTCATCCTCTATCTATCTCTCTCTAGTTTTTTTTAGTAAACAAAAGGGGAAATGCCTCAAAAATAACAAAGCAAAAACAAAACAGCAAGAAGAAATAAACTAATCAGCAGCCCAGATCTGAGCAGAAGACCTCTCTAGATCAGCGAACTGAGTAATTAAAAAAAAAAAATTTAATAAGATTAATAAACGACTTAACGAATTTTTCATTGTCTTTGACAAACCCAGGCCATTGTAGTATACTCTTAATCTTCTTAGGATCCATGTACATTCTCAGTTTGGATATTATGTTGCCCAAATATCCAAATCATTTCTCTTTCAAGGTGTTGGAAGCCTTTATCACAAATGCTTTAGAGTTTTTTTTATATACTCATCCATTATCCTTCCTTGCCTAAAAGTGGCGAGGCTCTTATATATGTTTTCCTAAGTTCGATCTCTAAATTGTTGAATCAAGACTGCCATTGAACCTTCCAAATCTACAGAGAAAAAGAGGCAGACAAAGAGAGGATGAAAAACTAGAGAGAGAGGCAGATAGAGAGGGGATGTAACAGAAAAAAATAAGATTATAAAAGGTAACTAATCACCGTTAGATTTAATTCTATTCTAACGATGATTAGATTGTTGTAAAGGTGGTACGTTTAGTTGATGGTAAGTATAACCCTCCCCAAGCATAATACATATAACTCAGAGCTGTCAAAAAGGGTTTAAGCCCTAGGGCCAGCCCTATAAAATTCTAGCCCTCTATGTAATGGGGCCATTTTAAGCCCCTCCTTTTAAAGCCCTCTCATTATAGGGTTAGGTTGGGGCTGGCCCGCGGGCTACAATATTCAACCTAATTTACAACGAAAAAATTTCATCCAAAGTTTTGACGAAAAAAGAATTCCTTCAAAATTTTTGACGGAATATTTTCCGTCCAAAATCTTCGATGAAAATGTGACCCAATGAAAATTACAACTGAAATATTTTTTTTCAAAATTTTTGAGGGAAATGTATCACTGAAACTTTCAACTGAATTTAGATTTCGTAAAGATTTTTGACAAAATATTTTTTTCGTTGAAATTTTTTACAGAAATATTTTCGTCAAAGTTTTTTACAGAAATAATTTTCGTGGAAAATTTTTAACAAAAATGTGTTCCGTTTAAAATTTTGATAGAAATATTTTTTATCAAAAATTTTGTCAAAAATATTTTTCGTCAAAATTTTTTGACGGAAATGTGTTTCGTCAAAAATTTTGACGGAAATTTTTCGTCAAAAATTTCGACAAAAACTTTATTCATCAAAAATTTCGACGTAAATTTTTGTGTCAAAAATTTTGACCAAAATTTTATCGGCAAAATTTTCGACGGAATTAAAACTTTTTTCGTCAAAAATTTCAATGGAAATTTTTTCGTCAAGAATTTCAACGGAAATTTTTTCGTCAAAAACTTTTACGGAATTTAGATTCTGTAAAGAATTTTGACGAATTTTTTTTTTCGTCAATTTTTTTACAGAAACTTTTTTTGTCAAAACTTTTTAAGGCGGTAGGTTTATGGGTCTTTTTGCACTTATATAGTCATCACTTGGTCTAGGTCTAGCCAATGTGGTACTTCATTACAACTCATACTTGAATACTTCCAACATCTTCCCCTCAAGTATGAGACCCAACATCATGCTCCCCCTTAAGGGCAACTTCTGCAGAAGTCTTTGTTCTTTAAGTATTGGAGTCACACTAGCCTTCTGCGGAGGCCTTGAAACATCACCATCTCTAAATACCCAACCCAGCGAAATCTTTGGCTCTGATACCACTGTTGGGAATGGTACGGGGAGCCCAAAACCCATTGCAAGGGATACATCCATGGGCCAAGCGATAAACCACAATAAGTGGGCCGACACCACATTTTAACCCAAAACCTTAAGGCTGTAGGTTTATGGGTCTTTTTGCACTTATATAGTCATCACTTGGTCTAGGTCTAGCCAATATGGTACTTCATTACAACTCATACTTGAATACTTCCAACATTTATGTCGTAATACTACATGTGATATAAAATGTTATAAATACGCATTTTGTAATTAGTTTTTTCCTTCCGACAGCAAGAAACACATCAACGCCATATAAATAAAAGTATGAAATAAAAGGAATAAAGTATGACGTGTTAGGGGGGGGTTGACTCCCTGTCTTCCAACGGATCAATATTTATGTCGTATTATAACATGTGATAGAAAATGTTATGAATGCGTGTTTTATAACTAGCTATGTTATGAATGTGTGTTTTATAACTAGCTTTTCCCTCCTGATAGCAAAAAACAAACAAATGCCATATAAATAAAGATATAAAATAAGATTTCGAACTAAATCACAAATTATGTTTTTTGATCAAGTATAATTTATCTCAACTCAATTGCTATCTCTACTCTAAGGATGATTAACTAACTTTTTTAGATACTAATTAGTTTACTATCTTAAATCTATGTTTTTTGTGACACTTTTATTTTCACTCACTTATGAATTTGGATTCATTTTAAATTTTTAAATAACTAGATATAATCTTTATTTTATATATTAATTATAATTAGATATAAAAATCACTAATTATATTTCAAAAAATGTTGTTTTATAACAAAAATTATACCTTATTATTCAACTATATTATAAAAAAAATGATGTACAGATAGAAAGCAAGGAAAATAGAAAAGTGGCAATCCCCGCACACGTTCGCAGGTGAATGCAGCTTGAAACAGAAAAGAGAGAGAAAGTGGGACCCAAAAGAGTCATTGGTCACGTGAAAGTGGCAGCAGAGGGGAGAGACACACACCACCACCAACATCATAGACTCATGCCTCTCTCTCCAACACGTGCGCCGAACACCCCTAATACGTGTCCCTTCACCCGCTAATACGCTACCGTTTTGTCTTTCTCCCCTTGTTCTAAGGGGACGGTTAGCGGAAACAACGCTATCTCGCGGGTGCGCACACTATATGTAATAACAATATTTATAATTAATAATTTTATATATTTTAATATATATCATGGATATGTAACGCTCCTAGCTTGAGTGCTATCTTTTCTTTACTTCTATGTTCCCAAATTACCCTTCTTTCTTCTTGTCTTCTTCTTACCCTTAGTTGGTGAATTATCAGTGTATTCATCTATCCCCATCAACGAGGCTTATGGTCTTTCAACATCAATTTTGGCTATTCAGGTCAAATAAGCGTGCTTTGTAATAATGCAACATTTTTGGCTTTTTTCCTTTATCTAAAGTCTCGACCACAAAAATATGGCAAAGAAAGGAGAACAATGTTTTACCTCAATCACTCAATGAGTAACCTCTTTTTTATTTTTTATGCGTCACTTAATAAATCAGAATTTGGGTTATGGTCCCTCATTAAAATGTTTGTGGATGTCTGAGTCTTTTACTAGTCACCTTGAGTTCAAACTACATTTGATTTCAATATCTGGATAGGGAAAAGTATATAAGTTAATGACAATTAATAACAGAACTTTCATTAAAACTCAAAAGCTATGTTCCACTCTAGAAAGAAGCTAAATAAAAAAAATATTATGGCACTTTGTTTCATTATATGAGGTAACTACCTAATCTTAATAAGAGTTAATTATCCAGATGTTTAAAAATAAAAATAAAAACATGTTTTGTTATTTACATTTGATTGTGTGAGGTAAATACATGATTTCCCCCCCTAAATTGTACCCTATTTTTTCTCTCAGTTCAAGTATAGTGTAACAGAGAGTATGACCAAAATCCATCGGTGTCTACCCCACTTTCTATGCCTCACTGTAATCGAGGCATGCTAGACCAATCTGAATTGGAGATGTATTAAATATTATTCTTAATTTCTTATAACGAATTAATATTATGTACTCTAAATAAAATTATTAATTATAAATTTTTTTTCTTTGTTAAAAAATTATTGGTTGATATGATAGAGAGAGAAATTAACTTTAATATTATAATAATATATTACTAATAATACAAAATATTAATTGATTATAAAAACATTCTTCTTTCACAACATAAAAAAATAGGGACCCATAAATATATTTTCTAATATTTATTATGATAGTTTAGAATTTGAAATATCTATTAAATGTTTATAAATGTTTGACTCTTCCATTAGTTTTTTATGTTTTAATTTTATGCAAGCACATGCTGTGAAATTATTTATCATTGAACTGTTATTTCTAAACTCAAATACATTTATTATTTAAATAAAAAATATATTAATATAAGAGGTAATTTCAGTTTCATTTTACCAGTTATAATAATTATTATTTTTCTTACAATAATTAAATATTCAAAGTTTCGGACAGTCCTCACTACCATGTGGGGCAGAGTTTGGGTCAGTCAACCTTAGCACGTAGTCCAGTCACGCACGTACGAATCATAATCCAGATTAATCACTGGCTTTCTCTTTCTTCATTTCCAGTGGCATCACCGTAAATTTTCACAAAAACCGTGACCGATTAAGCATCCTCAACGTATTTAGTCCACCTCCTCTTTCACTCCCTCGCTTTCTTTCTTCAACTCATTCATGCTTCTCGTTTCACACTCTCACCCTTCCTTCGCCGAAACCACTCCCGGTTTTCCGACGAGTTTGCCGGCGAACATTTTCTCGCTCCGGTGAACTCGCCACCTCACCCGCTTAGATCTGCTCATCTCAGATCACCACCAACACCAAACCGAACCTCCTTCACTCCGATTCAACTCCTCCAAACATCTCGTTTCGTTCCGAACAACGATCTCGAATCCGGCGTCGTTTTCCTCCGATAATTCGCTGCGGTTCGATCTCGGAATTTCTCGATCGCGGAGCGGTTGCATTTAATCGCACTCTCTGATCCTTTTTTTTTGTTGCTTCGTTCTAGGTTTGTTTTTTTTTCCGGTGAAGTTCGTCGGCGGAGAGCATTTTCCGGCTAGGACGATGACGTCAGGAACGAGGCAGCCAACGTGGAAGGAGAGAGAGAACAACAAGAGGAGAGAGAGGAGGAGGAGAGCCATAGCTGCGAAGATCTTCGCCGGTTTGAGAATGTACGGCAACTACAAGCTCCCTAAGCATTGCGATAACAATGAAGTTCTCAAAGCTCTCTGCAACGAGGCCGGGTGGATCGTTGAACCGGACGGCACCACTTATCGCAAGGTAACAACAACCAACAACACACTCATTCGTTGTTGAAAATTAACATGCCATTTTTGCTTTAGTTTTTTTTTTTTATTCTTATTGGATCAAATAAATAGAGATTTTTTATTTCCTATTTTTAGCATCGATTTGTTAATCTCAATTATGTATCATTTGTTGTTTGAGGCCACTGAGCAATTCAATTCGTTGCGTATCTGGTAGCATGTGGTGTGTGGGGTTTGATTTTGATTTATCGCAGTGGCATGCCACATGCTACTGATGCTGACAATGATGCTCGGAATCAAAAGGACATGAAAGGGTGAGAGCCTGTGGGGTCAGATAGTGTGAGTGGATGTAACGAAGAGATTGTAACGGGGGGAGTGAAACGCAGAGCTGATGCTGCATTTGCTGCTATTGTTGTTGTGTGTGTCTGTGTTGTTGTATTTTTGGTCTACAATATGACCTACGAATGGGGCTAGATTCTTTCTTTTTTGCGCTCACCGGTGTGTACCTTAGATCTGGTCGGGGCTGTGCCTCTCGCTTTAAAGCGTGAAGCACAAAAGATTCTCTACATAATCCGTGGTTGTCTTTTGATGACTCGTAATAATCCGTGAGAAGACCTCAAAGGGGGCATAGATCTCGAGGGCGGAAGAAAGAAAATGCCCGTTATTGGTTTTCGGGGGCAATGTACTGTCAAAAAATTTCTTACCTGTACCCTGGGAATTCTTGAAATTGCTAGGGGTAATTCTGTCAGTCCAGGTGTCCCCTTGGGGTATAGTTGGTTGTTGTGCTTGTTACAACATGGCATAAGCTTTTTTCAGACGGTGCATGGTACTCTGATTTGTAGAGCGCTTTTTCCTCAGTTCCCGTGATATTTCTTCTTTTTTAGGGGATAGCGGTTGTATTTGTTTTTTTATACGCTGTGTCACCTTTATTGATGACATGATGACGCTACCAAATTGAGCGTTCCCTGGTACCGTCTATAACCGCAGATAGCTTGTTTTGACTCGCCAGATTTGTTTATGCTCAATAGGACTTCTTGCGTTGGTTTTTCTTTTTTCTTTTTGGAAAAAAAGAGAAGAGAAAGAGGGATGTGTTGTTTTGGGGCGGGTTAGGAGTACGTGTGTGTAAAGGGGGACATTATTCTTTCATAGAAGTTGTAGCTAACTGTACAAAAATTAATCAAAACTGCAAGCAATCCGAATACATGTAAAACAAGCAAACAACTTCTTTAATACTTGGGAGGTAACTTAATGAGTTAGTGTTTTAAATTCTTACATTAATTTGTAGGTGCTGCCAACGGCATTCATATCTCGTTATACCGTTTTAAACAATTTAATGCATATTACCATATAGATACGTCATACTCTTAGGACTTCAATGTTGAACTTTAGGTTGCTAGTCTTCATCAATAATGGAATGATTGTAACTGAATTGAATGAAGTAAGAATGACAAAGTCTTGAAGATGTGTTAAATCAGGCAAAGTCATAGTAAACTATTAATGTGTAAATTTTTTCCCATTCTGACAGCTGTAGGAGTATTTGTACCGATTGTGGGATAAACTGTTTCTAGCAAATGCTTTGTCGGTTGGTTGTTGAATTTGTTGCTGCTTGTTTAACAAAATTCACTGATTCATTTAAAAAAGAATAGAACATAAAATAAAAGAACCTCATTTCTAAATGTAGATGTATCTGTTAATTTCTAATTACGACAAATTATCAGTTTTATTAGTGTCCTATTTAATAACTATCTATGCTAGTCCCTGTTTCTTGTTTGCATGCACTTATTGTTCTCTAAGAGACGAATATCTTAGTCACAATTTTTTTTGCTTTTATTGCTAACCAATGTTCTGATAATTAATTCTATCCTCTATTATTTGTATTATTTTTTTACACCATCAATGGCGGAAATCAGGTACTGGAATTATTTCCCACTAAACCAATTACTATTATTATTTAAAACTGTAGACATTACCACCTCTTCTTTTGTCGGATTGTTTATTTTTCCTTTGTCGGTTTCATGCAATGAGTTTATAAGGGAGTTTACCTGTGCTGTGACATGACAAGGGACTAGTTTACTATTTTTTATTTCACACATTTGTTTTTCTTCCTTTGTTTATATACTAATTTTAAATACTTTGATGAATGATAGGTTATCTGTTGATTATGTGTAAAAAAGAAAAGATGTAGCAATTGATTATATATATATATATATTAAAAAAAAAGGCAGGGAAAAGCTTATTGTGTACTTTATGCTAAGAATTTTAAGATGTAATAAAAATCCTTAAGAGCACACAGTGTTAATTACTTTTAAGACATTAGATTGAATTCACAGATAGCCTGGTTTTCAAGTAGATCTCTGATTGCCTTGCCAATGGTAAAAGGGAACTAAATCTACTGAATACTATCTATATATTGACTTAAATAGATCTACAACTATAATGTAGCTATAAGGTCCAGTAATTGCCAGTTCTTTTTCAAATTAGTCCAATGTAATATATTAATATATGAAAGTGAGATTTGAAGGGCATACTAGATTCCTTGTTAAAGGGAAAATGGCTATATTGTTGTTTATAGTTTATGGATATATCTAGTTGCTAAAATGATATGTTTTGGTTTTACAAATGCCAGTCATTTGGAGTCTCATAATTTTATACATGCTATCTCTGAATTATTAACTGGAAAAGATTTTTATATAAAGGGATGCAAGCCTGTTGAACGCATGGAGATAGGTGGTTCTGCAGCGGCAACCCCATGTTCATCTTACCATCCAAGTCCCTGTGCTTCCTACAACCCAAGTCCGGGCTCTTCTTCCTTCCCTAGCCCACGCTCATCTTCCTATGCTGCAAATCCTAATGCTGATGGCAATTCCCTCATTCCATGGCTTAAAAACCTCTCATCTGGTTCATCATCAGCGTCCTCATCCAAGCTTCCGATGCTATATATTCCTAGTGGCTCCATCAGCGCTCCAGTCACTCCTCCACTGAGCTCTCCAACTGCCCGAACACCCCGAATGAAAGCTACAGCTACATGGGAGGATCAGTCCATTCATCCTGGGTGGGGTGGGCAGCAGTACTCCTTCCTGCCCTCTTCCACTCCTCCAAGCCCTGGCCGCCAGGCTCTTGACCCGGATTGGTTTGCTGGAATTAGGATTCCCCAGGGTGGGCCAACTTCTCCAACCTTTAGCCTGGTCTCTTCTAATCCATTTGGCTTCAAGGAAGAGGTTTTCGTTGGCAGTGGTTCCCGCATGTGGACACCTGGTCAAAGTGGGACATGTTCTCCAGCTGTAGCTGCTGGCTCTGATCACACTGCTGACATTCCAATGGCTGAAGCGGTTTCAGATGAATTTGCCTTTGGTAGCAGCACAGCAGGTTTAGTGAAGGCCTGGGAAGGAGAGAGGATCCATGAAGTGTTCGGATCAGATGATCTGGAGCTCACTCTTGGGAACTCAAAGACCAGGTAGTGAGAATATTTGATGAATCATGACAAACACCATGCATTTTTTATGTGTTGGAATTTTATGGCTCTTTATTCTTTTAAAATAAAATTTTAACCTAAATTTGCTCTGTTTCAGGTAAAGTGCTGCATAAATGAATAGACAGTGGTCCCCTCAACATGAACTTTGACTCTGTCTGTTCTATTCTGTAGAAAGGTTAGAGGAGGGAATCAGTTGCTCTTTTATATTATTCTTTTATTTTCTTATAGGTCTTATTTACTCTTAAGTTATATATACAGCTTTAGTTAGGTTTGGGATGGTTTTGCACCCTGTTATGTGGTCAGTATCTTGTTAAACCTTTAATTACTATTGGAAAGATCAATATACCTGTATGGATTGGCTGGTTTGATATTGAAAGAAATATTACTGGACGATTCAACTGTATCTGAATGACCAAGGAAGTTATGCAAATTCGGATTGAATGGGCCTACCAAATATCCTTTTCCCTCACTTTATCATTCTTCTGATTTCATTTCTCCTGCTAAGGGTGACAGATTTTATCATTTTGTTGGCGTGCATTCATTTCTCGTAGATTTCTGTGATAAAAAGAAATAAAGTTTTAGTTTATAACGATCACGGGTGGGCCAGTGCACTGCAGTACTTACTACCTTCTCACGATTTTCCTAAAACTTGAAACCGGAATGACTGTGTGTCCTCTGGGGGTGTATCTATTTTTCGAACTTCTTTACTTTCCTTTGACCTTATGTTTGACACGGGCTAAGCATGAAGACTACACATTCTTTGTCCTAGTCATATACTTGCTATAACGATGCCTTTGTGTGAGAGGTTACCCTTACTATTGTGATACAGCAATGTCCCTCTTGCAGTCATGCACTCTTTGTCATGAAAAGCTCACACTGACCGGCTAAAAGGAAATGGAGAGAGCTTACCCTTCTAGTCAATGGATCACAATTGAACAGGGCCTGCTTGTATCAATTTCACTTTATGCAGCGTTTTTCCTTTATCCTTTGTGTGTGTCTGTCATTATCATGGAGTCGAAGCAGCATGTATATGGTAAGGCCAATAAAAAAGGAGCACAGACGTAAATTTGATTTTTAAAAATACAAGTAAATTTGATTCCAAAAAGGAATAAGGGGCATTAAGTCGAAAAAAATAGACGTCTTTTAGTTATATGGTTCTGTTTCTCTCATTTGACATCAGAGAAAGTTAAGTTTCTACACATATAAAACAGAGCTGGGTCCCATCTATATATTTTTTTTCTCCTCTTGTTTGTGGGTCTCACTTGTGATATTGTCTCTATTACATGAAATAATTCTTATTATATAATATGAGAAAATAATTTCCTTTAGTTACAAATGAACAAACTAAACGAGTCAATTGGTGTTTAGACTTAAAGGAGCTGTTTGGTAGAGGTATTTTTTTTAAGAATACCATGAAAGTGTAAATGGGTTTTGTAGTTACCTTTGTTTGGTAGGAGTTTTTGCATTATTTTTCCTGTCATCGTATTTACCCAATAATTGCCTTTATGAAGAAAATCTGTGCTACTTTTCCTTCTGAAAATACCACCAAAGAGGTGATATTTTTGGAATACCAGATATAAGGGTTTCTTGTCAAAAAATTTCAGACAATTGTACCCTTCATTTTTTGCACAGTGTTGTAACGTGGGTTTCTAATCATGTCTGCATAGTTACTTTATGAGGTTATTTTCGTAAAACTCTCTCATATTTCTAGCAATATTTTATTACCAACCAAACATACACTTAGAAAAATTAGCCAAAATTTTCGATAATATTTTAGCTTACCAAACAACTTTTTCATAACATTTTCGGGAAACAAATATTCTTACCATTATTCCTGATTAAAAAAAAAATCCTATACCAAATGTCCCTAAGAGTAATACATGAGGACCATGGTTGTTAGTATCGCACGATACGCGATACGTATCATGCGATACGGTACGGTACAGTGGCAAATCGATACGGATCGCAATAGCAAATCGTTTTTGGCATGAATCGTGATTTGGAATCGTGTAATCAAACGATTCGGTTGTGAATCGTGAATCGGAATTTTTTTGCGATTCAAAATATAAAAAAAAATTAAAAAAAAATACTCAACAGTCGCAGGATTTGGAACGGCATGTTGTTATCTGAAAGGTTGTTTGCTTCAGAAAAATCAGGGATTCAAAATCCCATTTAAAAAACAAAAGGAAAGAAGAAGTCAAGAACAGAAAGGTGCGAAGGTGCAAACATAAGGAGAGACGACTTGCAGAGAGGTGCGAAAGCAACAAAACAGAAGCCTACTTGCAGAGAGGTGCGAACAGAGACGACTTGTAGTGACTTATAAGAAGCAACGAAACAGAAGGAGAGACTTGCAGAGGAGAAAACGCCTTGCAGAAATTTCCAAAGAGTAGCGCTCAAGAAGACTTGCAGACTCTGTGTAGAAGAAGACTTGCAGAGGAGTTGATTCAAAGAGCATGTAGAAGAAGACTCACAAAAGGCAGAGTAGATTCAGAGAGCGTGTAGAAGAAGACTCACAAAAGGCAAAGGAGTACAAGTACTATTTTTGAAATGGGTGATTTGATTTGTGATTGGAATTTGTAAATTGTAAATATATTAAAATATTATAGTGATGATTCAGCTGAATTGAAAATGTATGAGAGGATCAGAAGAATACATTATATTATTATAATATTATGAAAAAGCTGCACATTTCAATTTAAAATGCATGAGAGGATGTGTCTTATAAATAGATTATTGTTTCTATTTATAAGACACGTACACATTTCAAATCAGCTTTTTTGTGTATGTGTCACTGTCATGTTGAAATTGAAAGTGTTATTGCCTATTGCTGAAATGAAAGTGTTATTGCCTAGTGCTGCCTATGAAAGTGCTATTTCCTTTTTCATTTAAATAGTGAATAAATTCAATTGAGTATTAGTGCATTAGCTGAAGACACCTACGGACCTACCTAATATTTTTTCCTTTGATTTTTTCTCTCTCTTTTTCAGTAACAGAAATAATAAAAATGGCTCCAAAGAAGAAATCCCAAAAACAGAAAGATATAACTTGGGATCATTGTAAATCCCTTGCGAATAGTTGAATGTTAAATGTAACTATTGTCCCAAAACATTGTGGGGAGGAGCATTTAGAATGAAGCACCATCAAGCTGGAACACACAAAGAAGTTGCTCTATGCCAACAAGTGCCGGAAGAGATAAGGGATCTATTTAAAAAAATATTAGAGGATGCAAGGGATGATGATGAACTAGAGTAAAAAGGGAGCATGGATAGTTTTACGATAAAAGGAAAAAGTGGAAGTGGCTCATCTGCTATGAAACAACAAACTATAAATTCAATGGTGAAGGATAGAGATTTGGTGGTTCGAGATATTTGTAGATGCATATATGGCAATGCATTGCCATTTAATTTAGTTAAGAGTCCACTATTTATTAATATGGTGAAGTCTATTAGTGAATATGGTAGAGGCTTAAAACCATCAACTTATCATGAAGTGAGGGTGTCATATTTGAAGAAAGAAGTTGATCTTGTCCATACTAGTTTGGATAAATATAAGTTGGAATGGAAGAAAATTGGTTGTACATTGATGTCAGATGGATGGACTGATAGAAATGGTAGATCTCTTACTAATTTTCTTGTTAATAGTCCTAGAGGGACTGTTTTTATAAAATATGTTGATACAAGCAGCTTTATTAAAGATGCTGAAAAAATGTTTGAATTACTTGATGAGATGGTGATGGAAATTGGAGAAGAGAATGTCGTTCAAGTAGTGACAGATAGTGCTTCAGCCCTTGTATCTGTTGGACAAAAGTTGATGGATAAAAGAAAGCAACTCTTTTGGTCACCCTGTGCAGCCCACTGTCTTGATTTGATTTTGGAAGATATTAGTGGCATTACAGTGTTCTATAATACCATTTGGAAAGCAAAAAAAAATTACAACTTTCATTTATAGGCACACATGGGTGTTGAATCTGTATAGAACCTTTTCCGAAGGTAGAGAGTTAGCTAGGCCTGCAATAACAAGGTTTGCTACATCATATTTGACAATGCAGTCAATTTTGAAACAAAAGATTGCACTTCGATCTATGTTTACATCTGAAAAATGGGTTAATAGTGCTTATTGCTCTAGGCCGGAAGCCAAATTTGCAGAAAATGTTGTTTTAGCTGATAAAAGGTTTTGGAAATCAATACATTATTGCTTGAAAATTTTGTCTCCTCTTCTGAAAGTTCTTAGACTTGTGGATAGTGATTCAAAACCTGCAATGGGATACATTTATGAGGCTATGGATAGAGCAAAGGAAGAAATAGCAAAGAGTTTTAATCATGAGGAAAAGAGATATAAGGATGTACGGGAAATCATTGACAAGCGTTGGGATTTACAACTTCATAGGCCTCTTCATGCAGCCGCCTATTTTCTTAATCCAAAGTAAGTATTTTTTTTATATAAAATTTATTTATATAAAATTATTTATATTTTATATTTGATTTATTATTAAGCCTTATTCTAAATTTATAATAATTATATAGGTTCCACTATGACACAAAGTTCAACCTAGATCGTGAGGTTAAAACTGGCTTGTGGAAGACATTGGAGAATATGTGTCCTGATATTGAAACAAGGATCACAATTGATTCCCAAATTGAGAAATTTGACAGGGCTGAAGGACTCTTTGGAAATAGTTTAGCAATTTCAACTAGAGCTAGGAAGCAACCTGGTAATCATCGAATTTTGTGTATTGATTAAATTATGTTTTGATATTTTTAAAATTAAAAATTAAGTCATTAACCAAATATTTATTTATCAATTATATTTTTTTCTGCTAGCTTTATGGTGGAATAGTTTTGGAGACGACTGCAAAGAGCTACAAACAATAGCTATTCGTATCCTAAGCCTCACTTGCAATGCTACAGGGTGCGAGAGAAATTGGAGTGTGTTTGATCAAATTCACTCTAAGAGAAGAAACTGTGTAGAGCAACAAAGGTTGAATGCTCTTGTGTTTGTTAAATACAACCTTCAACTTGAAATTAGGCAAAAACAGAGGGAGGAAAAAGGAGACACATATGATCCTATCTGCTTATCAGATTTAGATTCTGACGAGGAACGGATTTCTGAGCAAGAGGAGCCTTGCTTAATGGATGAGGAATCTTTGATGGATGTTCATGAGTGCTTCAACATTGATGAAGGAGACCAAAGCAAAAAGAGAAAGAGAGGTATATTTGCATATATAATATTTCTTTTAATCAAACACCTTATCTAATCTATTTATTTACATTATGTACATATTTTTTTTAGGTCCTCGAAATCTTCAAGATGATAGGAATGATAAAGGCAAAGGCGTCTTAATACAAAAGGATGTCAACAGGAATGATAACAGAAAAGGATCTCAAATTATTGAACAAGATATGAGAGATGAGTCAGATGACTCTACTAATGGAGAGGATGAAGGAATAGATATGCCAATACTAGATCCTGATAGTGATAGTAGTGATAATATTAGTCTTGAAATTTAATGAATATGAGAAATAACTGGTTTTAGATTTGGTAACTTATGGATTTTGGTATTTAGATTTTTTTTTAATTTGGATTTATATGATATTATATATTTTTAAGTTATTTTTAATTTGTTTCTCAATCTTACGATTCGATACGATTCACGATTCATGATACAAAAAAGCAGCCGAACAATTCACGATACGTATTGCGATTCAACAACCATGCTGAGGACTTTTATCCATACGCGCCCCTTTTTATTGGTCCAAGTTCTTAGTTTGGGCCAAGTATGATTTTAATACTTCTTTCAATCGTTCAACTGGTTCGTCTCCATTTGTGATAAACTGAGGCCGCCCACCATGAGCCCTTCTTGCTTACAGATTGGGCTTTTCTTTGATTGAAGTCACTGGTGTCGATCTCTTTGTGTGTGCTAATGTTCTTGCAACATGGAAAGTATAGTCAAAGCTCAATACTACATATGAAATTTCAAGCTGAAAAGAAATGGAAAAATTAGAACATTATCGTCGAAGACCTTAATTTGCTCCATTTGCAATCGTACAAACAGGTATCTATCCACTTTCGTTCATCTCAAAAACTTGCAATCCGATTTTATGGCCACGATGAGATACTAGAGTGCATCGGTCCGACTGCGTAGAGGTTAAAATTACCAAAATCTTCGAACATCCACGTGGTATTTTATGTCTCTCTTTTACAACCATTCAATATTAGCTAACAGTTATTTTTAAACTAAAGTTTAAAAAATAAAATTAAAATATATGTGATGATTACATAAAATTTTTAGCTTAAATATTATTTAAAAACTCTAATTAAATATGCTGATATAACTTAAAAAAAGTTCCTCTTAAGAACATTTGGCTTATGACTTTTTTTCATTATATAAAAAAAAATTATTTTTATTAGGTGAAGGATATATTTACCATCAAAAAAATTTAGAACCTTTACAACCAACCTAATCACCGTGATTTTCGTCAATCTAACGGTTATAATTTATTGGAAATTATTAGGTTGTGTTTATTAATTAATTATTAATTTTCTATAAATTATAACCATTAAATTGACAGAAATAAACGGTAATTAAATTGATTGTAGAGATAATAAATTTTTTTGATAATAAATATATCCTTCCCCTTTTATTATAAGTGCTTTTATAAAATTTATTTGGCCTAACCTCTTTATAAGGAGAGGAAAAGCTAAAAAGCAGACCTCTAGATAGGCACCAAGTCCATCAACTCCCAATGTCTCCGCTTAAGCCTTTTCCAGTGCATAAACCGGGGGCGATTATAGGTAATTGTATAATTTGGAGAGGGATCCACATTATTCGTCATGTGCTTGTTGAAGCCATTGATGTCGATCTCTTTGTGTGTGTCAATATCATTGCAACAAGTAAAAGCTCAAAATTTTATGACATTTCAAGTTGAGAAAAGAAAGAAAAATTAGAACATTACCATCGCGGACCTTGTTTTGCTCCATTTGCAGTCATACAAATAGGTATTCTACCAATATCGTTCATCTCAAAAACTTGCAATCTATTTTTATGACCCCTATGAGATACTAGAATGCATCAGTCCAAGTGTGTAAAGGTTAAAATTACCAAAGTCTTCGCGCATCAACATGGTATTCCATCAAAGTTATCAAACACAAATAATGGCCTGTCGCGGACCAACCCTGAAAAAATGTTATAGCACTATAGCGGATTGCGGTTATGAAAATTACGAAATAGATCAATAGAAAAATTCTAAAATCCATTACCTATATTATTTTGTTTCTATCAATAAAAAAATCAAAGCATGCTATTAAAATAAGGATAAAGACGGTGGCAGAAACATCTACAAATAACAACAATTCTTCAATACAAGTTACACAAAAAATTATTAAAAAAATAATAACACCCAAATAAAAATAGGTGAAAAGGTAGCAAATAGCCTCTAAGCTTTGTTGCCTCTTATTTTAACATTTTATCATATTTTATCATATGTCCTCATTATTAATTACTTGCCAATATTTCTATGCATTTGTAACCAGGTAGAAATGAAGGAAGCAAGAAGTAGGGTAGAGAGAGAAAGTATATCAGAAAGGAGGAAGAAGAGAGAGAGTGATTCACATAATTCATATCTTTTCATTCATTCAGAAATCTATTTAAGCAACCCTAATGGATTACACACAAGTTGGCCCAAGTTACCAATTCTAATTATCAAATAGTAATTACCCAACTGATCAATTTAACTACCCCATTACATAATCAGCCATCTTATTGGGCCTTCACATAATTCCCCTGTTCCTTAACTTCATGCCTTCTGGTGGGTTAGAGTCAACTGGGCTGTCAGAGTCAACTGGGCCGATTACAATTCCCCCTCCATCAAGACCAGACTCGTCCTCGAGGCTGGGTATAAGTGGTATTGTTGTATCCACGTGGTCCATTGGATATGTGAGAGGTTGAACACATGTGTGGTGGGTAGAAAGATCTGGAATTGGGAAATCTAGTGGATGGGGATGTGCTGACATGTACGGGGTGATAGGAGCCGTAGGATTAGTTGTGGAAGTGGGTATTAGCTGGCTGACATTAAGTGTGGTAGGTGGGAGAACATCAAGAGGCGTAGGTTTGAACTGTTTGGGCGTAGAAGTGAGACTCTTGTTTTCCCTAGACACCTCATCTCTCTCTCTTTCTCTCTCTCTCTCTCTCTCTCTCTCTCTCTCTCTCTCTCTCTCTCTTATTTTCTTGGTCACAACCGTTTGCAAGGTGGAAACTTTAGGGTTTTTCTCCGCCAAAAAAGGTTGGGGTTCGAAGCTTTCGACCACTGGTGTTAACTAAGGGTAACTGGTGAGGATGGTTGACTGGTCTTCCCAAGTAGAATCCTCTAGTTGGAGGCCGTCCCATTGGACCAGAACTTGAGGGACCTGAAGGCTATTCTGCCATATCGTGCGTGTAGCTACTATTCCAGCAGGAGCTAAGGCTAATGGAGAATCAAGCTGCGTTTCTGGAAGGTTGTGGGTAGTATATTGGCGCCCTGTTTTGAACGGACGGAGCATGGATACATGAAATACATCGTGGATCTTTGCGGGATGGGGAAGCTAAAGGCGATAAGCCACTTGGGCTATTTTTTTCCAGAATCTTAAATGGGCCATAGAAGCGCAACAAGCTTCTGAGAGGAACGACGGTGAACGGAGAGATGACGGTAAGGCTGCAAGCGCAACAAGACCAGTTCACCTACATTAAAGGTCCATTCTTTTCTTCCCTTTTCTGCATTTGCTTTCATAATTTGTTGTGCTCTGCGTAGATTTTCTTTTAATGTGTTTAAAATGGCAGTGCGAGCAGTCAGTGCAGTGTCAATGGCTTCGACGGGAGATGAGCCGAGACAGTAGGATGTCAGATCTGGTGGGGGTTTGCCAAACATCACCTCATATGGTGTAAAACAAGTGATGTAAGAACCCGCACCGTTAATTTAGGAATTTAATTAATTTAAATGAGATTAAAGAGATAATTCCATAATTGATCCTAATAATTATGAGAAGGCTTAAATAATTGTAGTAAGTGATTAATAATGCTGAAAGTCGCTTTTCTGACGAAAAGTGTGGATACCGGTCCTACTCCACGGTATAAGTGTGTCCCGATGAAGTATCCCGGAAAATGATAAAAAGTATGTATATATTACTAGAATAATATATATGACTAGAATACAAAGTTTGAAGTAGAAATAATGAGAACTGACGTCAGGACTGATACCGGCTACGTAAAAGTGTGTACCGACAAAGTGCTGCGAAAAATATAATAAAAATATGACAAATCCTAGAAAAATGGTTAGGTTCAGAATCTAAAGTTTGGGATTAAAATGATAAGCGTAGCTATTAGTGCTAATACAGTGTGATTAAATTTAATGTCCCTATATATAGACATAGGCACATAACCCTAGGCTGATCTTCTTCAGCCTCTACGTGAGTTTCTGAAGTTTGGGCAGCCACCTTGCAACCTTCATCTTCCCTTCCTCTTGTGACTCAAAGAAATCATTTTTCCTCAAGCTTCCTTCACCATAATGCCTTGGATAGTTAAGAACAAGCCTTGTGTGCATGTGGTTGTTAATATATGGATGTCCTAGAGACAATCTTTTAATTAGATTAGGACATATGTGGACCTTTGTATTGTCGCAAATAAATAAAAGCACTATTTATCCTGTTTCATATTTTGTCTCAATATTACTGTTAATATTTTATATGAGTAACTGGATAAACCCCTTAGAATAAAATAGGTATCTCTTGAGTATCTGTGATGAGATCACGATCATGAGGATTCAAGGATACTGGATATTTATTCCTAATTTTATGTTCCTAGTCTAGAGACACTGAGAATGGGGATCAGTGATCTCGGGTAAGACTAGCACTACTTATCTACTTGTATTCGGATGCAAGGTAAAGACCTTATGAGCTACAGATATGGAGATGTCTTAGCTAAAGTCGTGGGTGGATCTATAAGGGTATAGCTCGCACTGAACAGACCCACAAAAGAGACTCTATGAGGAAATCTCACAGAGAGTATCATTAGAGTAGTCTCTTTATATTTGGGTATGTCTTTCCTTAGACCAGAAGTTATTACCTAGACTATGTTCTAGAAGGCATGCTTTGACTGTATACCTCGTCTTTCTGAAACATGGAGACTCATAGGTATACTGTTGGGCTTGTCCTGAAAGAGCATAGGGCTATGGTGATAAGCTGAAGGAATTCGTCAAATCTCTGTGAGAGATTAGGTTATCTGTAAACCGGAGAAATCAGGATGACATTTACAGGGACTCGGGAATCTATGCATAGTAAAAGAGATCATGAGATGATCTGCCTTTAGAGTCAGTAAATTGAAGATTCCTTATTTCGAATAAAGCTTACCCTAAACCGCAAGGGTTGATACGCTTCCTTACCCTAGGTTTTATGGGAAGGTAACCGAGACGGAAAGAAATACATACGGCAACCAAATATGTGTAATAGGATGATCAAGTCATTAATCTAACTAGCTTTG